CACAACAATAACAACAACTCATTTGTTTTACTGTCTTTCTCCCAGTAAAATATATCAGAAATTGTCAATGTTATTCACTCCTACATTGTCAGTGACCAGTGTATTTTAATAAGTATATTTGCTGAATGGATGAATAGCAGCAAGCTTTCCATAGATTTTCTTCTGTAATGAATAAATTTAAAAAGTTTACCATAATGGCTAATATATTAGAGAGTCCTGGTGTGGCTGTAGATAAACACTAGACTGTTAACCAAGATCAGTGGTTCAAACCTACCAACCATCCCTTTGAAACATTATACAGTGTCAATATGGGTCAAAACTGACTTGACGCCACTTAACAATAACAACAATATGTTACAGAATCCTGGTGTGATGCTATAGAGTAAGCACTGGATTGGTAAGTGAAAGGTTGGCAGTTCAAACCCACCACTCATTCTCAGAAAACCCTACACTGTGTCACCATGAGTCAGAAATGACTCGATACCACACACCAACAACAACGTATTACAAGTGTTCAATAAATATTACTAATTAAATTCAAATAAAAGTCATTGCCATTGAGATGATTCTGACTTGTAGTGACCCCTCTATAGGGTGTATGATATTGTAATCTTGAAAGGAGCGAGCTTATCTTTCTCCTGTGGAGGGACTTTTGGGTTTGAACTACCAGTGGTTATCCAGAGCAATTGTAGTGGCTGTTGTTGTTAAGTGCCATAGAGTCAGTTCCAACCCATAACAACTATGTATAGGGTTTCTACTGAGACTGGTGGATTTGAACCATGCACCTTGATGTTGAAACCGACCTTTTGGTCCGTTGCTTATCCTAAAGTGCCACACTTGGGCAATTAGGAGACATAAACCTCCCCATACCTATTTGGTACAAGGTGTTGATTCTCTGCATTTTTGTGAGTGGAAGCCCACAGCCATCACATCATAAGGAAATCAACATGTGTTATTCCTGCCCCACTTGTTTAATGCACACCCCGTAATCTACCTGTAAATTTTTCTCACACAGATTGTTTCCTTCATCTCTTTACCCACTCACTATCCATTTTATGCTGATGAATACTGATTGACATGTAAATATTTGTTAAAACAATCGATAAATTATTGGAGAAATATAAAGAAAAATAATCAAAAGACTGAAAATAGAAAGAAAATAAAATTAAATAAAACCCTGGTATGTTGTAATAAGAATTGATGCATTTGAATTATGGTGCTGGTGAAGAAAATTGAGTATATGATGAAATACCAGAAGAAGGAACAAATCGGTCTTAGAATTGTCCTTAGAATTGACTATGGTGAGACTTTGGCATGCCTACTCTGGATATAACATCAGAAAAGACCAATTGGTGGAAAAGGGCATCATGTTTGGTAAAGTAGAAGGTCAGTAAAAATGAAATCCTTCAGTGAGGTGGAGTGACACAATAGCCACAACTGTGTCAAATGGACTAAGACAGACTCATAATCGTGACAATGACAACATTTCATTCTCTTATATGTAAAGTCACCATGTGAAGGAGCCAACCTAAGTGCAATTAATAACTACATGTAACAATTAAGTGCTGAATTACATAAGGTTGGGAATTATCACACTCAGCTCAGTCTATACATTCTGTATACCTAAATTAAGGATCCCCGGTGGTGTACTGGTTAAGTGCTCAGCTGCAAATGGAAAGGTACAAATCCATCAGCAGCTCAGCTGGGCAAAGATGTAGCAGTCAGCTTTTGTCAAGACTACTAGCTACTGTTGTTGTTGTTTTTGTTCTGTGTTGTGGAGTTGGTTCCAACTCATAGAGACCCTGTATAGGATTTCCGAGGTTGTAAATCTTTACGGGAGCAGAAAGCCTCATATTTCTCCCATGGAACAGCTGGCAGTTTCAAACTGCTGACATTGTGGTTCGTAGCCTGATTTGTAACCACTACGCTACAGCCCACTGTTTTCCATTCAGCCCATTCTGACTCATAGCAATCCTCTAGGACAGAATAGAATTGGCCCACAGGGTTTCCAGGCCGACTGCCAAATCTTTTCTTTCCCTAGGAGCAGTAGGTAGGTTTGAATGATCCACTTTTCATGGTAGTTGAGTGCTTCATCACTGCACCACCAGGTCTCCTTCTATAAAGAATTGTTACTTTGCTAAGTGGAGTTCTGGTGTGCCACTGTAGGCTAATGTGCTGGACTGCAAGGTCAGTTTGAACCCCAAGGTCATTAGTTCAAACTCACCAGCCACTCTTTGGAATCCCTATATGAGTAGGAACTGACTAAATAGCACTGAACAACAACAACAACTTGTTAAGTCCTTCAAGTCAATTCTGACACATAAATACCTTGTATAGGGTTTCCAAAGAGTGACTGGTGAGTTTGAACCACTGACTCAGTCCAGTGCATGATCCTGCAGCACCACACCAGGATACAGCCTTGGAAATAATCTGGGGGTAATTCTACTCCATTCTATAGGGTTATCAGAATCAACACAGTGGCAATGGTTTTATATCTTAAACTTATCTGTTTTTTTTTTTTTTTGTTGTTGTTGTTGTTAAGTGCTATCAAGTTGGATCTGACCCATAATGACACTGTATAGGGTTTCCAAGGAGCAGCTGGTGAGTTTGAACCACTGACCTTGTGGTTCAAACCAGCTTTGCAGTCCAGTTCATTGGCCCACAGTGCCATACCAAGACTCCATCAGTTGGTTTAGATACTGCTTTATTTTCAGTTGTCTCTAAGAATTTTTACATAAAATTAGAAGTGAGGTTGTTGTTATTAAGTGCTGTTAAGTGTATTCCGAGTCATAGTGACCCTTTATAGGGTTTCCAAGGAGTGGCTGATGAGCTTGAACTGCCAACTTTGCAGTTCAAACTGACCTTGCAGTCCAGCGAACTAGCCCATGGCACCATACCAGGACTGCAGAAGTGATGAGAAGGTAGAAATAAGAACTGGGTAAGTCACTATCTTAGCCCAATCTACAGTTGGATCAATCAAGGGAAATTTCTGTTTCTCAAAAAATTGAAGTTTACATCAAAAGAGAGCTACTTCTGCTAACAATTCCAGCTGTGTATAAAGGAAATATTTCTGAGGAGAGACATTTTCAAGATAAAAATAGCTACAAGTAAATATAGTGAATTTCACAAGAGGTCATCAAGCTTATATAACTGAAAATAATTATTTTATCTTTGATTATACATGAACTTCTTTTTTTTTTTCTCCCCAGAGGATCTTGGCTCTGTCTGGAATTTCCTGTTAGAAATTTCAGAACACAAGGTTTTACATTTTATATCTAGAAGAAAATGAGGCAAGGGTTCATTTATTCCCAGAAATGATATCTATTTCCTTCTCAATAATGTACTTCATGTTGGGTGAACCTCTGAAATGCCAGAGTGTCATGGAACAAAATAAGATTATTCATACCATACAAATGACAAGTATGTTTCATTTTTAATGTTCACATCAAAAACAATGTAAAATAATTTCAATCATTAACAAAAGTTTAATCCTAAATAAACAGTCACAGCATGAATCTCACTTTATTAATAATGTTGTAAAGTGCTACTGAGTTGGTTCTGACTCATAATGACTCTATGTTGTTGTTGGTGCTGATGGTGGTAAGTGCCGGTGAGTCATTTCCGACCTATAATGCCCCTGTACAGGCTTTCCAAGGAGCGGCTGGTGAGCTTGACCTGCTGACCTTGCGATTCAAACTGATTTTCTAGTCTAGTACATTAACCCAGTGAGCCACATCAGGACTCCTAAGGACTCTACAGAACAGAGTAAACCTGTTCCATGGGCTTTGTTTCCAGGTTTTTCTCCCGTAGAGTTAATGGGAGGATTTGAACCACCAATATTTGGATAGTAGTTAAGCACTTACCTACAATGCCACCAGAAATGTTGTTCATTAACAATAATCACATTTTTTAAAAAGAACTTATTATGAGTCAGGGATATTTCCATTTATCCCCCGTGCCTTGAATAATGTATTCAATAAAGATGGGCTGTCTGATGAATGACCCCTATTATCTACTGCGGAACTGTGGGTAACGCTCTGGATGGCAAAGTCAGTTTGAACCTCAAGGTCGGTGGTTCAAGCTCATCAGTCACTTCTTGGGAACCCTATAAAGGGTCGCTATGGGTCAGAACCAACTTGACGTCGCTTAACAACAACAACAATCTTTCTAACAATCCTGTTCACGAAGATTATGAGACATAAGGCATATTATGTGTGCATATAAACTCTGAGGGTGGATATTTTCTCTGCTTTAGAAATGAGAAAGGTGTTTAACTTATTCAGTTTATCAAGCAATAAGATAGAGAACATGATCCGAAGATGGATCTCTTCTATTCAAATGTGTCTGCCTTTGGCCTCTCTACAATAATGCTTTAAGTAGGTGACTTGGATATCATATGTGGCGCTGTGGGTTAATGTGCTGGACTGCAGTCAGTTTTAACCACAAGGTCAGAAGTTCAAGCTCAGCAGCCGCTCCTTAGAAACCCTACACAGGGTCACAATGGGTTGGAACCAACTCAACGGCACTTAGCAACAATAACAACAACAATTAACTAGTCATGATAAGTATCATGCTAACTATGTACTGCGTTAATCTATTTAAGGACTGGTTTTATTATCCTCAGATTTCTTCACTTTTACAAATATGAAGGATCATTTCCCCTGCATGTCTTGAGTTACCATATGCTTAATATTTCAACTTATGTGCCCTAAACTTCATCCTCCTCTGAGCCTATCATTTCTCCATTATTCTTTATTCTTTGAGAAAACAATGTGGCAAACCTTTCATGGAACAATTACCTCCATTTCTGATCAGATTTAGAGCTATTTATGGCCTGAGAACATACTCATGACTAATGCACAATTCCTGAGCCCAGGATGTGGTCTGAACAACTCTGCAAAGAAAGCCTTTCATTTGCATTGTACTTTAGGTGCTAGGTACAGTGATTTCTCTCAGTGACTCTGGCCTCTAAAGTGTTCATTTCCTTGTCCCTTCCCTACCTTGTAGACATCCAGCTCTCCGCACTGCTGGTCAAAGCGTGTGTAGAGCTCGTTGAGCATGGTGATGACCTGCAGTGGTGAGCACTGGGAGCAGATGGCAGTGAATCCAACGATGTCCGAGAAAAGCATGGTGACATTATTGAACTTCTTGGCTTGTACAACTTGTCCTTGCCATAGCTGCTGAGCAACTTCACTGGGAAATATAGAGCACAGAAGATCTACCGTCTTTTTCTTCTCTTCCTCCAGTGCTTGATGGGCTTGCTCAAGGGTGGCCTTGAGTTTCCCCAGTCTCTTCTTCAGGCCATCCTGAGCTCGGGCTTGTTCACCTATCAAGACCACATCTCTCAGTGCATTATGAATTGGGATGTCAGAAAGATACAGCCCTCGTCCTGTGAAGTCTTCTAATCTGTCCACACAGGGTGACCCCAAGAACAAGATCGCACTGGATTCAATAATGTAGATCATTTGGCCTTTGAGGTCCATAACCTGTGAAGCAAAGAAAAACCCACTGTTGTGGCTTTTACAACTTTTCCTAACACCTCTCTAAGATGAAAGGAGAGGAAGAAGACAGAGTGAGAATCCTTTTTCACTTAAAATACATTTTTTTTCAACCTTCTAAAAAGAGAACAATATGCTTTCATATAATTAAAATTAGCTAAGTTCTAAAATGCATGCAGACATTTAAAGAACTTTAGTATACATCAAAATCGTGATTTGCAATAAATTACATAAAACAACTTCTTATTTCAAGGTTTTCTCACTAAGCAGCATTCTGATGTTTTTGCTACTGTAATTTTGTGCTCTTGTGAAAATGTAATTTCTCTTTTTGGGAGTCTTCTATTTTACAATGTTTCTTCTCCCATCTCTCTTTTTCCTCTGAACTAGGTTCCCCCAGGTTCCAACTGGCCGGTATGGAGGTTAAAAAGTCTCCAAAACATAATATATTTGTACCCCTAGAGTTATTTTTTGGAATTCATTATTTTTTTTCAGAGATTTCACAATTGAATACCTGGATCTCAGGTTATCTGAGAGATTATCTTCCCATTTAAATTTTGGCTTAGGAAACTAACCAAGGCAGCCATCAACAATGCAAACAAGGATTCTATCAAGAGGGATGAGACAGCTGAAACTTCAGATAATTATTTTCAGTCACCAAGTAATTTATTAGTATGAATGTGCATAAACAATGTATTTATATTGATGTTCACTGCAACAAAAAGTCAAAAATAACCCAAAGGTCCTTTTATGGTGCACTGATTCAATAATGTTCAACTACACAATGGAAGCATAACAATTGTGAGGATTGCACAGGGCCGGGAAATGTTTCGTGCTATTGTGCATACGGTCACTATGAGTCAGAGACAAGTGAACAGCACCCAAAAACAACACCACCACCACCACACTGGGATATCACACTGCCCTGGAAAAAGTGAACTATACTTATATCTAACTTATATCTAATGACATAGAAGGCTGTCCCAAACCTATGGGTTAGTAAAAACAAAAAAGTTGCAAAAATATCTTTTATGTTTTAAGCAAAGATATATGTAACTAATGTTTCTAATTTTGGGCATTAATTAATATCTTTATACGTTATAATATCTTTATAACAATCTTTAAGTATTGACTATTTTTAAAAGAGCATTTAGGTATTTTTATGAAGGCAAAAACAAATTAAAGCTATTTTCATTTATTTGGCAACAAACAGTGCTTCTCTTGGGGACATGTGGGTCTAAGAGTTCTATGCATTCTAACATGCTCTTTTAACTTTGCTTGTAGTAGCAATGATGATTTAGCAAACTTTCTTTTCTGAGCCTGGATAATTATCAAAGCATTCTACTGCGATATGACAGAGCATGCTCTTTTTCCTGGCATTCTGTACTAAAAAATCTTACATTATTTATTTTACCATTTCTATTAAACTAACTAAAAAAATAATTTTGTGGCTTCCTGTAAGAAACAAATGGGGTTTTCTTTTGTTGTTCATTATAAAAACAATACTTTTTAGCATTCCAAGTTAAGTCAGCTATTTGATAATTGAAATACGTAAATTTATGTGAATATTTATTTAACATACAACTTAGTTATAAAACACTCCATGAAGATTTTAAGAGGTGGATTCCATTCAATAAATATATGATAAAGTATCAAGGAAATAAGCATATGAATGCAGAAATAATTTTGTTTGAATTTTACTGGTGGTGGTGGTGGTTATGTGTTGTGGAGTCGGTTCTGACTCATATCGACCCTGCATAGGGTTTCTGAGGCTGTAAATCTTTACTGGAGCAGAAAGCCTCATCTTTCTCCCACAGAACGGCTGGTAGTTTGGAACCACTGACCTTGAGGTTTGCAGCCTGACTCATAACAACTATGTTACCAGAGCTCCTAACAGCCTTAAAATTATTTTAGAATGGTTAAATAAAAATGTTTTATCAAAAGATTTGAAGTCATGCAAGATATTTTTGCTTTTTGTTTCTAGTTCTTAAACAGGAAAACTCAAACCCCAAATAATAATATATATTTTCCTTACCCTTGATGACTTCTTCATAGAGTTGTCCCACCTCCTCACTCGTACAACAAATTGCATATTCAACATAGTCATGATCCCACTAAATGTTTGGTTGATTTTTGGAGTAAGGATTTCAAAGTATTCTTCAAAATTAGGCTTTACTTGAAAATCTCTCCTGCTCATTAGCCTTCTAATACCATTGCCAAATTGTAGAATTGTCATATCTTTGTCAAACATGAAATGGAATGGAAAGGTCTTACAGAACAGTGATGCAGGAATTACCAGGGAGGACTGAGGTTTGCCTGGAGACAAGGATGGTTTGGTGCTTTTGACATGAACAGAGTATAACAAATAGGGTTGGTTACCAAATTCACTGCAATCATTGGGAAAGCAGGAAGGAATTAATGACACTTCTACTTCAGTTTCGTACAATATGTGAGCGGCTGCCTTAATGATGCCAGGAAGAATAAGGGATGTGGTTCTATTAGGAAAGAAACAGTAAACGTTTAAGAAATTGTGATCTTTATCCAGGCAGAGAATAGAGGCATCATCAAACCCGCCTCTTTTTTCTGCTTCATGGCAATGACTGTTTTGTTTCAAAAGGGTACTGAAGCTATTTAAAAAATCTTTAAGGGTTCCTCCAACCACTCCTAGGATGTGTTCATCTTCCTCATAACATATTTTAAACAGCTCTTCACCAAGAGATTCTCTGATGATCTCCACTGGAATTCCTGAAAGCACATAACACATTGTGGTTTCTAATATGTCATTTCGGTAGAGTTACTACTATTTTTCACATTGTTTCACTTGTTCATTTGTTGTATTGCTGTTAAGTGCCATGGAGTTGGTTCTGACTCATAACAACCCTGTAGAGGGCTTCTGAGGAGTGGCTGGTGAACTTGAGCTGCCGACCTTGTAGTTCAAACTGGCCTTGCAGTCCAGCTCATTAAACCCACAGGCACCCTTATACCAGTGGTTAAGTGCTTGGCTGTTAACTGAAAGGCCAATAGTTAGAACCTACCAGCCAGCTGCTCTTTGGCAAAAAGATGTGGCAGTGTGCTTCCCTAAAGATTATACAGCCTTGGAAACCCTATGTGGCAATTCTACTCGAGACTCTGGGTTACTATGACTTCACAAAATTGAGTCCACAGAAGTTAGTTCATATCTGGTAACAAGAGTTTCAGCCAAAATGAAACATCTATGTTTTAATTATCTACATAAGTTAGATTCTAAAATTCTGGTAGCTCTCATTGAAATAAAAATTACAAATATCAGTTACTTTGAAAATAATGGTCTACTCGGAACAGACTCAAAGGCACTTAACAACAACGGCAGTATATATAACATTTTAATATCTTTTAAACTTGCCTATAAATGAAAAACTAAAATTCTAGGATCAAGTCTAATTAAGAAAAATTGCTCCCACCTTTCTGTTAATAGTAAAAGTAGCCCGCCTTCTTAAAAAGGGGAACTCTCTTTCTTCGACTTCCAACAGTATAAGAATTAACAACCTGAATTAATTTAAAACCACTGGGCTTTAAACAGAATTTTGTCATTTTCCTCTGGATAGAATGATAAAGTCTTTTTGTTTTGTTTTATTTTGCTGAGTAAAGTCACATTAATTTTACCTGAAAAGAAATTAGCTTGGAATATATTACAGTGAAAACCTGTGAGATCCAGAACTGACTTATTTTTCCGGGTCTCACAAGATTTTCACCGTTTTGATAGGGTTCAGTCTTACCAGTTTTGAATCACTCATTTTAGTGGAAAGCACACTGTTATTTATTTTAATTTCCCTTCTCTGACAGGTTTCCACACTACAAGGGTTCCAGCATCTGCAGATTTTATTCTATTTACATTCCACAGCTTCTCCTTTCCTAGCCTCCTCTATTTATATACCAGTTTTCTCATCTGTAACATAGGAAACGCAATAGTGTCCTCTTTACATAGCACTGTGGGATGTAAATAGAATAATGTGTGGGATCATGTCCCAGGGAGAGCTGAATATAAGTTAGCTATTTTTTATTATTTTCTTAACATTTGGAACTTCTATAAAATTTAACCTCTGAGTCCATGTACTCACACATTTCAAAAGGACAATATGACAAAAACCTCTCAACTTGCCCTGCAAACTCATCGTGTTCATTGTATTAGAGAATGTGACCATGATTGCTTACAACTTAATTTTTTTTGTTGTTAATTTCTATACCGTTGGGCAGAATTTTTCATGCACAAATGAGGAAACTTAGAGTTAGGTTCCAAACCAAAGCCTGTGAATGTCTATGAGTCAGCTTCCCACTCAGTCTTATCTACTTCTTAGCAAATAAACATTATATGAAGAGGAAATGTTTTATGTCAAACAAAAATATACAGTATGAAAAACAGTTACTACTTTATGTTGACGTGATACCTAATATTGAACATTTCTCTTTGGGAATGACCAACAAATAATTACGAATACTTTCACAGAAAACATTAGTTTTTCAGTTATTTAAGGAATTTAAGTATTTAAGTAATTACTTATACTTAAGCAGTTCTATTACCTGATGCAACAGCTTGGTCTGCAATGATCTTCTCAAAATCTTCTCTCTCCAAAGATTTCCTGGAAATATATCAATATCGTAAATTATAAAGTTACAAACAAAGGCTAAAGCTTCAGATTCAAATATACAGAAAGGCTGATGGAAAATAAATTATCTTTTTGATGCAAATATTGACTAGCAGGTTTACTGGAAAGAAGCAGTGACATGTACAATCCAAAACTATGCTGAAAACCCCAAAACATTCAAGATTGTATATTATAAATCATATTTATATTTTAAGTTTGTTTTGCAAAGGCTAATGTTAAAGAGGAGTCCTGGTGTGACACTGTGGGTTAATGCACTGAATTGCAGTCAGTTTGAACCACAAGGTCGGCAGTTCAAGCTTACCAGCTGCTCCTGGGAAACCCTGTATTAGGGTTGTTATGGATCAGAACTGACTTGATGTCACTAAACAACAGCAACAATGCTAAAGAGGTTTATGCTGGCAGGACACTGGGAGTGTAAAATAGCCAAGAAAGGGATAGTAATAAATCATCCCAGAGTTTGTCTGATAACCCAGCCAAGAAGAAAAGTTGACATGCGCACTGATTTTACCAGTATCACTTTAAAAAAGAAAAAGAAAAAAAAAATACATAGCATTTTCTGCTTTGGAGATTCAACTATTATTGGATGATATTTTTATAACTGCATAAAACTTTAGTGGCTAATTTTTTTTCTTTATTCAATTACAGGTATCTGTAGCATAAAACCAGTTGTGTTCTAATAGACACCTCATGTGTGTAAGAGCAGAACTGTGTTCCATAGGGTTTGCAAAGGCCAATTTTTCAGAATAGCCAAACTTTCATTCAAAGACACATCTGGATGGGTTCTAAATACCAATCTTTGTTTAGCAGTCAGTAGCATGAACTAATTGCATTACCCAGGGACTCATGGTGACCTCAGGTGTTAGATAGAGGAGGACTACGCAGTAGGGCTGTTTTGATTGCAATCTTTACAGGAGCAGATTATCAAATCTTTCTCTCAGAGAGTCCCTGGGTGGCTTAAGCCACCAACTTTTTGGTTAGCAGATGAGTGCTTAACTGTTAAATCACCAGACTGATAATAGTATAAATTTTTATTGACAGAAAACCCAAACCAAGCCCATAGCCAGCCAGTCTGTTCCAACTCGTTGTTGTTAAGTGCCATCAAGTCAGTTCTGACTCATTATGAGTGGCTAGTGGGTAGTGACCCTGTAACATAGAGCAGAACTGCCTCATGGTTGGTGAAGTGCCATGGAGTCGGTTACAACGCATAGCGACCCTGCACAGGGTTTCCGAGGCTGTAAACCTTTACGGGAGTAGAAAGCCTCATCTTTCTCCCGTGGAACAGCTGGTAGTTTCAAACTGCTAACCTTGCGCTTCTCAGCCCGATTCATAACCACTACACTACCAGAGCTCCTTCTCCGGGTTACCATATTTGTAATCTTTATAAAAGCAGACTGCCGTGTCTTTCTCCCGGGGGGTGGGGGTGGGGGGTGGGTCGCTGGGGCCGCTGGTAGGTTCAAAGTGCCAAGCCTTCAGTTGGCTGTCAAGCATTTTAACCACTGTGCTACCAGGGATTCTTAGGTAATCTCAACATGACAATGTATATTATTAGTTCATGTCTAATTGTTTTTGACAATTTCTAATCGTGGTGACTGATTATAGCCAAAATTGGCAAACTACTAAAGCATATTTAAAGATATCAAGGTTCCATTTGTATTCAGTTTGCCACTAGATATGCTAAATTTGCAAACAGCCATACATCTGGAATTTAATAAAATGTAATACATGTAGGGAAGTTTCAAAAGGAAACATTTTTTAGAAGGAAACTAGATCACTGTACCAGTTCATCACATAAGGGCATACCTTAATTAAAGTACTAGTTAAAAATGTATTTTTATCTAAGTTGGTTAAACATCACTGTATAGTATTAAAGCCTGGTGTGGTGGTGTGGGATAAAGTACTGGACTACAAGGTTAGCTTAAACCACAAGGTTGGTGGTTCCAACTCACCAGCTGCTCCTTGGAAACCCTATTCAGGGTTGCTATGATTCAGAACCGACTCGATGGCACTTAACAACAACAATACATCTACTTACTTAAAAGAAAAAAGGAGGGCTGTCAGGGACAAGTTCATTGTTTATTACACTGATCAGATGGTTTTTAAGTCGCAGAACAGAATAAAAAATTCAAATTATGGGTTAAGGCATGGTCAGCAGGTGTAAACCTACAGCAGTAGAAATGGCTTGATAAGAAGGTGAGGAGGAGGGGAAACCAGAAACAAAGAGCATACTCAAGAACTAAAAAAGCAAACCTAGCGGAGCCATTTAGCATTTAAGCATGCAGTCTTATGAGCAAAATGGTCTGTCATCTTATTTCAACAGCTGAATAATTATCATCAGGATAATTCAAATAAGATCAGCCTTTTCTCTTTAAGAAAATTATTTCTTAAAGTGGTAAAAAGATTATTTCAAGATTTTCAAATAAAAGGATTATTATTTCTCTAAGTTTTGAAATTTTGAACACTGTACTGTGAGGAAAACATGCTAACTGAATGTCGGCATCTTGTTGAAGGAACATTTCAGAACACAAAACCCTGAGAATAAATTTGGAGTAAACAGGCTGCCAAGGACTGAAGCAGACAGACACAGCAGCAGGGCTCAAATGATTTCTGGATATCTTATCAGCCTGACTGAGAATTATAATCAGAGTCTTTCTGGAATGTTTTTCACATCACTCATGTAAACACAGTTTCTGTCAGGCACACAGATTCACGCCCTCTCCTTCTGGACCCATCACTGACCCCGTTCTTGGCTTAGTCCTGCTGACTGCAGTCTGGGACAGTTAGTCAGCAAAGAAAATTAAGCCTAGATAATCCACAAAGCAGATTATCCACTTAGGAATAGTAGATAGCTGTGTGAATTCATACAATATTCCCAACAATGAGACTGGTTTGCAAAGCTCAGTGTTCAGTTGTGCAAATCTGAGATTAAGTATTCATTCTATAAGGAGCTCTGGTAGCATAGTGGTTATGAGTGGGGCTGCTAATCTCAAGGTCAGCAGTTTGAACCTACCAGTCGCTTTTCAGGAGAAAGATGAAACTTTCTGCTCCTGTAAAGATTTACAACCCTGAAAACCCTGTACAGGGTCGCTATGAGTTGGAACCAGCACATAACTGCCACCACCATTCATTCTACTGTTTACACATGAAATACTCCTGAAAATTTTGGAGAATCAAAAAAGAGGGCTAATTAAGTAACTTACTAATAGTAAGTGTGCCAAGATATATTTGGAAAGTTAAGAACCCCCACTAAAAAAACAATAGTAAGGCTCTATAGAAAATTTTCTTAAAGCAAATTTCAAGACAGACAAGAAAATACTACAAACAGAACTGATAATCAACCAGTTTATACAAGAACAACCAAATGGTTGTTGAAAATACTGAAACAGTTCCACTCCATGCTTCCTGAGGCCCCCTCTGCTTACCCCCTATATCATTCCACCTCCTCCTTATGTAGCTCCTAAAGGTTTAAAATAAACTTGAGCATGTGGGGTAGGAGGAAGAGGCTGCTGATATATGATTCCAATATTTTGGTAGCATCCTTCTGGCAATAAATCAGTTCTAATTATTTGATATACATGTCTTATCTGTTGTTAAATACTTGAGAAATAATCCATCAATATGAAAGAATAGTCCCTGGCTGGTCCAAACAGTTAAAGCTCTTGATTCCTATCCAAAAGTTTGGAAGTTTGAGTCCACCCAGAAATATACTGGAAGAGAGTCCTTGCAATCTACTTCCAAAAAATCAGCCACTGTCAAACTTAGACATTGGCTACGTAAAATGAGGGGGTGATAAAGGCATGAAGTGACTGGCTTACAAGTTTTCAAGAGAGAGTTTAATTTAAGAGTGTGTGGGAGAAGATAGTGTCCCCACTGAATAGTTTTCATTTTGTCTAGATGGGTATGGTGAAAAGAGATGGGAATAAGATTCTTATGATTCTATAGTGAGTAACTATTATCATGACTAATTGAGACTGTCACAATTGTAAAGGTAGAAGTTTTATAACAAAAAGTGGGTAGTAGTTAATCTTACATCCCAGGAGCAGATGACCCTAGGACCATTAAGGGAGAAGAGCATGAGCAGGATGTACGACCCTATCCAGAGAAACAGTGACACCCAGAGATGAGGACACAGAGAGAAAGAGCAGCTGAGGACTCTGGACTTAATGTAAAGAGAAAGACTGAGTACTGGCGGCCAGGAGGTAGGTTTGCAGAATGTGATCTTTGGTTATTCAAATTATATATTCCTGAGTGTTTTTGTGTACATCCTCTCCCAAAAGAAAACAAACAAACAAAACCAAAAAAACAAACAACAACAAAAAAAACACTCCAGAGGGAATAGAAGCAAATGCTGTGGAATGATGATGCACAGAGGGGATTGTAATCATTGCAATGAAACGATAAGTGTAAAACTCATGTTCTCCCATGTAAACTATCACTCAATTCACAATAAAAACTTAAAAAAAAATTATGATAGAACATTTAAAAAAGTGAATGAAATAAGATGATCCTTATAATGACATTATAATTTTGAAAAGAAAAAAAAAATCAGTCATTGAAAACACTATGGAGCACAGTTGTACTCTGACACACATGGGGTCTACTTGAGTCAAGAGTTGACTCTATGAAACCTGATGATTTATATGAAAGAACAGATTTTATGAGAATTTGCTCAAAGCAACAGTATATGACAGCATGCTTAAATTCATGGCTCTGAAAAACCTGAACACAAAACCTAGCTCTGCCTTTCCCTACCTATAAAATCCATATTTTATATAAGTCTGAGTTTAGTCACATATAAAATGTGAAAAATAAATTGTTTACTAACAGCTAAAATAGTCCTATTTCTGGGATTACCAGCACATATTATTTTTATCTTCTGGACTAGAAAAGTCTGGAGTTATCTCTTTCCTTCCCTTTTCTTTGATACTTAAATCCAAGCTGTCACCAAGGTTAGCTGATTGTTTATTTGAAACAAACCTTGGATTTACACTAACTGATTTTCTTTCTTTGGACTAGTAAATGCTTAACACATCCAACTGCTAACCAAAAGTTGGAGGCAATGAGAAAAAGTCTGGAAGGCCTGGAAATATACTTAAAAATTTTTAAAATCAGTCACTGAGCACAGTTCTTCCTTGACACATATGGAGTCATCACGCGGTGGTATCAACTCAAGAGCAACTAGTTGTTTATTGGCTTTGATAATAGTTTAGACTTTGTGTCAACTTGACTGGGTCAGAGTCTCAGGGTTTCTTCAGTTACGATGTAGTAATTCCTCATGATGAGATCTGCTATGAGCAGTCAGTCAATTAAAAAGAAGCTTGCTCAGGGGAATGACCTGCTTCCGATACACTGGACACTCAGGCAAAGTCTCCTCCCTTTTCTGCTGGGTTTGGATAGTGCAAACTTCTGGCTCTTTGGACTTGAGCCAGTGGCCTGCTCTGTTGTCTACTAATCCTTGAAGTCATTAGCAGCCAGCCATCTTACCTGTTCTATCTGTCTGCCGCCATCTGATCTGCCAATCTGCCAATCTTGGGAGTCATCAGCAGTTGGCAATCTTACCTGCCTGACCTGCCTACCTGTCATCTGACCTGTTGATTTTGGTTCATCAGCCCTGAAACCTGACATCTGACCAGTAGACTTGGGACTTGTCCACCTCTACAACTTTGTGAGTCATTTCCTTCATATAAATTTCTCATTATATATACATAGATAAGCTTCACTGGTTTTGTTTCCCTATAGAACCCAGCCTAAGACACAGGCATTGATTTCTGAGTATTTCTACTTTGTAAGTTTTTTGTGTATAGACTCCATATTCATAACTTAATAAATACTTGCTGATATTCAGTAATTAGTAGTAATATTAGTGACTTCAATATGAGGTTGATATTTATTTATACAACTGAAGTGATTCAAATTACCTGCTTTCTTTTATTTTATGTTTTGTCAGTGTTCTCTGAAGTGCAACGTTCAGCCGTTCAACCTGGAATTGAGAAGAAAAGATTTAAACACTCCCTTTAGATAGTAATGCATTTGAAGATACGTACTTAAAAATTTAGTCCTGAAAATTTTTTATGAAGAAGTAGAAACAATTATTTCCTTTAATGATGTTTTTTGTTGTTGTTAAGTGCCATCAAATCAGTTCTGACTCACAGTGACCCTGTACAGGGTTTCCGAGGAGCAGCTGGTGAATTTGAATCACCGACCTTGCAGTTCAAACCAACCTTGCAGTCCAGTGCATTAACCCTTACACTTTGGAACTGGGACTGATTTCCTATGGGTTTTTCAAACTCAGAATAAATAATAAACTCAGACTAATCTGAGTCTGGATGTGTGTGTAGCCAGATGATTTGCCCATCATGGGTGGCTTCATTGACAGCTAGCCACAGAACAGAGTTAAGCCAAGTTGGAATCTGAACAAAAGCCTTGAGCTTGATAATGCCAGTTCTTCTATGAGGGACTCTCTGGGTATCACTTCCTCTAGGTCAGAAAATCTCCTTGGATATGCTGCCAATGCTTCAGTCTCAGTATGGCTCAAATCAAGAAAACATTGTGCCTTTCACAGACTCTACACTCAGTGACTATCCATCCTTAATAGTGCATTTATACTTATGCCTCACATAGCACTTCCATCTTCTGCTCTAGAAAATGTTGGCACTATCTCTGTCTTTCCCTTCCTTCCTTCAAATCCAATTTGTCACCAAGCTCAGTTGATTGTCTACTCAAAAGGAGCCTTGGATTTTCACCCTAGCCTAATTGTCCTCACCAGATAGTTTTAATTCTGATAGCTATTGCTGATTTTTGAGTATTTCATAAGTTTTTCTGTTTTATAAAATACATGTATGTTACTTCAATAGCCATTATTGAATAAATCTTTGGTTAACTATTCAATTTTTATAGCTCATTGTCTCTGATATGCATAAGAATTGCTGACATTATTATATTCTTTTGCTTTCCACAAAAAATCATTCATAAACGTCTCCGTGTGCCATTGATTCTTTCTATACATTATCCAGAGGAAAATGACAAATTTTATGGCTGTTTTCCAAATTGAGAAATTCCTTTTTCTATGAGCTATTTATATCGACATTAGAATTTCTATTGGCCATGTGAGGCAATTGAGTTGAGCAATATGCAGCAAGATTCTGTTTTAATGAAATGAATTACGGAAAGTACTTTCAAAGTATACACTCAGCTTTAAAGATAAATTTGATATTTATTGAAAGAAAATGAAAAATGACTTAAATTTATAATGTGTAACAATTTTTTCTCACCATTCAGGTATAGAACGAAGTAATACTTGTATCACAGGCTGGTGAGAGAATTATCTAGTGAGAAGATTTTGAGTGACGTGCCTGTGACTTGTATGAAGGCAAAGGGCAGGAGACCTGACAGGTGAGGAGTGTGTTCAGGAAGGAAAACATGGACATGCTTCTTAGCAGTCTTTCATATCCAGAGAAGAAGAAAGGCAACATCATGCTGATGAAATCACAGATCAGATAGATCAGACAAGGTACCTGAAAAGTTTGAAAGTGTCATGGGCTTTTTATTTGATAGAAAACTATTTACTAGTACTATAGGACTAGCATGGATTGAAACCCATAAAACTATGAGTTGTTCTGATTTCTTTCAATCTGAAGAACATACACAAGTTGGGGAGAAAGAGGTCATCAATAAAATGGGGGTAGATTACTTTGTGCATGAATTTCCCATTTTTCTTCATAACATTTGTTACATGGGTTTTATTACTATTATTTTTAATTATCTCTTCTCTTAGAATAGAAGCTGCAGAAGAAAAGGTAACGAATTTCTGTTGTGTTCACTACTCTATGACCAGCACCTAGCTGTACCTAACTAGAAGAGATGCTCAATATGCATTTGTAGAATTAGTGGAATGAATGAATAACACACTCTCTATAATCTATTCAAATTATTGAAAACTACTCTAAAATTTTAGCACTGAAGTGACATTGCCAAATACTGATGTATTGTTCAGTTTGTTTACATATAAATTTAGGTTGCTTGAAATATAAAATGATTTGAATTACATTTGTTTATTTAATAATGGCTGCCATGCCCAGGAAAATTTGTGTTGGTATGAGAAAAGAAATCCATTCACTGCTGAAACTTCTGTAGCCACCTAACACTTTTTCAACTCTCTTCCCAGAGCTACCAGAGGCAACTTTTTCCTCTTTATCTTTCTGATTAAACCATATGACACACCTCTTTTTGCTCTATTCATTCAAGATCTTTCTTGAATTTTTACTTCCTTCCCACTATCAACAAGAACTTCTTTTTCTAGTCTGTTTCTCTTTACATATATGCTGTAATTGTTGCTAGTTGCTGTTGAGTTAGCTCTGATTTATGCCATCTTTGTATAACAGAATAAAATGTTGCCTGGCCATATGCTACTTCCATGGTTGTTGAAATATCTTGAGTTCATTTTTGTGGCTATTGTCATTCCATCTCACTGAGTGCTTCCATAGTTTTAGCTGAGACTCTACTAAATAAAGTCTTTACAACTAGACTGATAAAATACATCATGATAATGGAGACAAAAAAAAAATCAAAATTGTCAATGATCTCATTCTACTTAGATCTTAAATCAATGCCACAGTCAAAAATGAAGTGATATATTGCACTGGAAAATCTTCAAAAAATCTAAATATGAAAAAAGTATAAGTGACCCAAGATATGGTTTCTTCAGTCACCTTATATACATGTTAAAGTTGAATATGAAAAAAATAAGACAAAAGTCACTGACAGTGGAAAGAAGAAAAGTGCCTTCTTCCTATTGATATAGTTGGAAGATGTTTTCCTGGCATTCCAATTTCAATCAGAACTTGTTTTCCTGAAGAAAAATCACTTACATCCAAGTGAGGCACTGGTACCATGTTATTACATGCAACTCTATGTACAGTGAAATGAAACATTGGTTCAGCACCATCTTCCCAATCAGTATATGTTTAACTCAATCTTCCCCTTTTTGCTGATCCGCTTCTTTATCAAACATGTTGTCCTTCTCCAGGAACTGGTTTCTCCTGTCTACATGTCCAAAGTACTTGAGATGAAGCCTTGCCATCTTGGCTTCTAAGGAGCATTCTAGCTATATTTCTTCCAAGGCAGATTTGTTCATTCTTCTCGCAGTCCATAGCACTTTCAAAATTCTTCACTAATGTCATAGTTCAAATGCATTAATTTGCCTTTGGGTTTACTTGATCAATGTCTAGTATTCTAAAGCATATAAATCAGTTGAAAATACCATGTCTTGGGTCGGGTGCACCTTATTTTTCAATGTGAAATCTTGGTTTTTTAGTACTTTACAGAGATGTTTTATAAGAGATTCTCAAAAGAAATCATTTGATCTTTTGACTGTTGCTTCCAGGGCTGAAAGCAGAGAATACCAGAAAGATAAGCACTTGTGTTTGATCAACTATGAAAGGCTTTCCACTATGTGGATCACAAGAAACTAAGAAGCATTGCGAAAAATGGATATTCCAGAACACTTAATTATATTTAAGGGAAACCAGTACGTAGATCAAAAGGCAGTAGCTAGAATAGAAAAAAGGGATATTGAATGGTATAAAATCAGGAAAGATGTGTGCCAGAGTTGCATCCTTTTTCCATACTTACGCTATCTATATGCTGACCAAATAATCTGAGAAACTGGATTATATAAAGAATAATGTGGCACCAGGATTGAAATTCCTTAACAACCTGAGATATGCTGATGGAACAACCTTGTTTGCTGAAAGCAAAGAGGATTTAAAATATTTACTGATGAATATAAAAGACCATAGTCTTCAGTGTGGATTGCATGTTAATGTAAAGAAAACAAAAATTCTCACAACTGGGCCAATAAACAGTATAGGAAATAGGGAAAAGACTAAAATGGTCAAATACTTCATTTTGCTTAGACATAAAATCAACACTCATGGAAACAGCAATCAAGAAATCAAAAGACATTGGTTTTAGGCAAATCTGCTGCAGAAAACCTCTTTTAAAGTGTTAAAGGGCAAAGATATCAGCTTAAGGATTAAGGTGTTCCTGACCCAAGCCATGGAATTTTCAGTCATCTCATATACATGTGAAAGTTGGACAATGCACAAGGAAGACCTGAGAAGAGTCAATGCATTTGAATTATGGTATTGGTGAGGAACAGTAAAAGTGCCATGGTCTGCCAGAAGAGCAAACAAGTCTATTTTGGAAGAAGTGCTGACAGAAAATTCTTTAAAATCGAGGATGGTAAGACTTTCTCTCTCATACTTTGGATATGTTATCAGGAGGCAGCAGTCGCTAGAGAAGGGCATCGTTCTTGGTAAAGTGGAGGCTCAGGGAAAAAGAGGAAGACTCCCAACGTGATGACAGAACACAGTGTCAGCAACAATTGGCTTAAACAAAACAATTGTGAGGTTGGCACAGGATTGGACAACATTTCGTTCTATTGTGCATAGGATTGTTATGAGTCATTCCAAATGACAGCACTTAACAGCTTCCATGAGCATTAAATGTAAATCCAAGTCAAATGAAATTACTGACATCTTCGATCTTCTTTGTTGATCGTGATGCTGCTTATTGGGTCAGTTTATGAGGATTTTTGTTATATATTGAATTGTAATCCATAATGATGGGTGTAGTCTTCAATTTTCACTTTAAGCAAGCAAGGCTGTGTCATCTGCAAATCATAGGTTGTTAATGAATCTTCTTCCCATCCTGATGTTGTGTTCTCTTCATACATGCCAGCTTCTTGGATTACTGGTGCTGTAGTTCCTTTAATAGGAGTCCTGGTGTGGCACTGTGGGCTAAAGTACTGGACCACAAGTTCTGGCGCTAAACCACAAGATCAGTGGTTCAAATTCACCAGCCATTCCTTGAAACCCTATAGAGGGTCACTATGAGTCAGAACTGACTCTATGGACTTAACAACAACAATTTCCTTTAATATGTCCTGAATTCAGACCCTAGAATGACATGAATCCATAATAAACCCAAGGTCAGGACTCAACTTTCAAGGAGCACTACAACACACACAGACAATCTCAGGGCCTTTGAACATAAAATCAACCACTTCATGTCTGTTAGTGAGTGGGTTCTCATATGCTACAAATAGTGGCTAAGACTCCCTTTCAAGCTCCTGAAAGATATTATGCCTGAAGAAATTATAGAATTTTTTATGAGGACTATTCATGAAGCAATATTACTGTGGGAAAAAAAGCAATGAATTATGAATCAGAGGTTGAGGTTTTTCCATCTCCTCAGTTATCTGTTTTACTTTAAACAAATTATTACCTTTTAGTGTCTCATTTTATTTTCAAATAAAAATGAGTTTATATTAGATAATCAACAAAATCTTTCTAATCTCAAATATTCTGCTACTCTGGAATAACATCTTCCATTCTAATTTTGTTAATGATAATGAACTTCAATATTTCTCTCCCAAAAATAAATCATTGGGGAGTTAAATTTGATTGTCTACAAAAGAGTTATGATATTGTCACATATTAATTTGAGTCTACACAGTTCACATGTTTCCAACATTGGGATATCTATTAAGGCAAATTACCTCAGCTGGGAGAAAGAAAAAAAAGCCTTGTAGGCACAAATACCCCTTCAACATCTAGAATTCCTAGGACCTAGACTTCTCTTACATGACACTGCAGTCATACCTTGATTATTTCAAGATGTTTATGACACTTATTGTAGGAATTCAATATGTATCCAATAAATTAAGGAAGCTAACACAGTAATGACAGGTCTTAGGGAAAGCATGGAAGCGATTCCACTTTTCCATCACAGTCTGTTCATCTCTGGGCACTCACTCTATCCTTAGAAGTAAGAGTGCCAACTGTTTGCCAGATTGAAATGCTAAACATCTATCTGAGAAAAGCCTGTATGCCAGGCAAAGTTGGCTATCTAGAAACTGCAGTGGGATGATAATAATTAAATATTTCCACTTCAAAACCATTAAACAAAGCACTATTGTGGTTGGATAGTGATTGTGTGCCTTTGAGTCATTTCCAACTCATAGGGACCCGGTATAGTGTTCCTCAGGTTATAAATCTGCATAGGAGCTGAAAACCTTCTCTTTCTCCCACAGAACAACTGGTGGATTCAAACTGCTGGCCTTCAGGTTAGCAGCCCAGTTCATAATCCACTATGCTACTGGGGCTCCACTTTGCTAATATTATATTTGAATAATCTCCCTCAACTTTCTGCTTACCCCAACTTATGACCCATCCTGCAAGCTTCAACTCAAGTCCTTTCTTTCTGTCACTACAATAATTGTTCCATCCTTCAAAAATGGTATGATTTGGGTCAAGGCACTTATCTTGCCTGTACTTCTTAGGGATAAAATAAGTTATCTCAATCTCAGTAAAAGTTAGTGGGTCTGTCAAACTTCAGTGCTTTGCAGAGAACAGAGGATTCATATTGAGTTAATTAAAAAAAATTATATTATTATAGTCAGAATATGATTATATAAATGTTGAGTGGCATAGATTAAGGCAATATTATATCAAATTGTGAATACTGATCCAGAGGGCAAAAGATATTATGAGGACTTTCAACTGCTTTTCTCTTCAGTGGGCAGAAAGGAACTCTTTCTAAGATCCCTGACCTGTCCGCTAAATGTGTGACTAGTAGATAGATAGAAGATGCTCCATCCTTCAACACAGGCATTATGCTACACAGCTGCCAGAGCTGTTCAGGAGTCAGAACCAAGGAGTAGGTCAAAGTTGGCTCAAGGAGAGATTTGGGACTAATAACAGCAGGAATGTGAAGATTTTCACACTTCTGCAAATTAGAAAGACACACAGGATGCTCTTGAGAATTAAAGAAACTAAAAAAAAAAAAAAAAAAAATCCAGCAGAGAATAAGTTATTCTTCAAAGGTTTAACTCTAAACAAATTATAACTAACTAATTCTGAGTACTTATAGTATGTGATAGAGCTCCAGTAGCATAGTGGGTTACCTGTTGGACTACCAACCAGAAGGTCAACAGTTCATATTCACCAGTCACTCCTTGCTGAGTTGGAACAGACTCAAGGGCACTTAAGAGTGTACACTTATTTAAGAGTTATATTATAAGTATCAACAAATAGCCATTAAAATCTTAGATGGGGTAAGTATTCTCTGTATTTCCCTAAGAAAAGGACTTTGAAGCTCAGAGGAATTAAGGAGCTGCTCAAAGTCATTGGGCTTGTCAGACTACAGGATCTTTTGGAAAATAATTCAAAATCTTAAATATTTTAAGATTAAGCACAATTTAAGAACATGATTGTTTTAAAGAAATGTTTTTTTATGTTTCATGGAAATAGTCTATATTTATTATACCCTCAGATGTCAGAAAGCAACTGTTTGCACTTTTCTTAGAACAGCGTTCTTTTAGGATTTCAAAATATCATGAAAATCTCTAAAGGACAAGAACTCACCTCAGGGAAAATCAGTTTGCAAATACTGTCTGCCAAAGTGTGAAGATAGACTCGGCTCCGACTAGTCTTTCTTTGAGGGAGATTTCCTCGTGCATTCTTCTCAGGAACATCCTGACAGATGGGTGCAGTTGCTTTGCAGCTCTCTGAGCCTCCTGCTGTCTCCTCCACTGGGTCTTTCGGAAGCTGACCAGGTGTTAATAAGGAGAAAGGACATTCCCCTGTGATCTTGAGATCCTTCAGCTTCGTACAGAACATGGTGCTGATGGCCTCTCACCCTGCTGCGGAGCTTCTCCGATGAGTTATTCTTCTTACACGGGATCCACCGGTAGAAACCACTATCCAATCACAGTCACTGGTGACAGGGATGTCTATGGACAGTCAAAAGTCAGAACAGAAAAATGAGTGACTTTAAATATTCTGAAAACATAAAAAAAAAAAAAGACAGGTGTGAAAACAAAGACCATTGAGTCCTAGGTAATTTTCAAGTCAAAAAAATTTTTTTATTGGAAAAGGCAATTATAAAATGAATAAAACATTTTAGTATATATTTCATTTAATATATATTACTAAATTACTTATTTTAATTTACAATTAAATATATTACTAAAATACTTATTTTAATATTTTAACATTGTTCAAATAAAATGCAATTTTCTCCAAAATTCCCTAAAAGCAAAGTAGTGATTTTGACTTGTATAGTATAATCAATCTGGTCCAGTTTGATTTCACAAGATTGGAACACTATGGATTTGACAGAAGCCAAGTCTAAAATCTATCATTTATTAATGCTAAAATTTACTACATTTTTATTATGCATCCTTTCTGAAAATGCAGAACAATATAAACCAATATGTCTCCCAAAAACACCTAAAGGAAAATAAACAATAATGCCCAATCATGTTTTTAGATCTGAACAATTGACTTTCAGATGAAAAACATTATTTGAGATTTGTTAAAGTAAAAATCACTTTACAGCCTCGGTAACCCTATATAGGGTCGCTATGAGTCAGAACCGACTCCATGGCACATAACCAACCAAACCAACCAACATTAATATCACACACATGTAAATTTTGCTAAAGATCATTCAAAAACTTTTGCAGTACCACATTGACAGGGAGTTCCCAGAAATTAAGTCAGGATTCTGAAAAGGACTTGCATTAATGATGTCAGATGGATCTTGACTGAAAGCAGAGAAAATCAGAAAGATGTTTATTTGTGTTTTATTGTCTACACAAAGACAGTGAACTACGTGGGTCATAACAAACTATGGATAACATTTTGAAGAACAGGAAAACATTCTAGAACACTTAATTGAGCTCATGAGGAATCTGTACCAAGAGGCAGCTGTTCAAACTGAAGGGAGTATTGTATGGCTTAAAATCAAGAAAGGCATGTGCCAGGGTCGTATCCTTTCTCCATACTTATTTAATCTGTATTCCAGAAAAAAAAAAACAAAAAAAAAAAACAACCGGAGTAAGTGAAGAAGAATGGGGAATCAGGATTTGAGGAAGGCTCATTAACAATCTATAATATGCAGAGGACATAACTTGTTTGCTAACAGTGAAAGGGAATTGAAGAACTTACTTATGAAATTCAAAAAAATACAGCCTTGGATATGGTTTACAACACAACATAAAGAAAACAAATATCTCACAATTAGACCGATAAACAATGTCATGATAAATGCAGAAAAGACTGAAATGTTCAAAATTTCATTTACTTGGACCCATAATCAATGGTCTTGGGAGTTGTTGTTGTT